GTAACCACTCAAATTTGCCGACATCGAAAATATCGGATTTCCGTCGGTAGTCCGTCGGAAAGTCGTCAGAATATTACGACAGATTATTTTCCGTCGGAAATCCGTCGGTACAAACGACGGATTTCCGACGGAATACCGACNGTNGATAAAACCGTCGGTATTCCGTCGGAATTTTTCGACGGAATACCGACGGANNANATGTTNGTCGGAAATCCGTCGGTAAGCCGTCGGAAAATTCCGACGGAAATATTGGCCGTCGGAATTTCCGTCGGAATAGTGGCTGTTTTCTTGTAGTGCTTTGTGAAAACCATGTTCGCTGACAGTGACTTGGATGTCAAACACGGGTTGTAAATCCTAGCAAACAGATCTCTCATAGAAATATCTACATATGAGGGAAAAATAGTGATGCACAGATTACTACAACAAGTGGGTAAAAAAGCCATTCATAAACAAGAGCCTTGGAAACGCCGAATCTTAATGGATGCTCCAGAGATTTGTGATGTTCTTGAAGATGCCAAAGTAAGTTCTTTCTCTTGTATTTGTTTTCTTACTTTTGCTCCCTAATTACAACTTAAACAAGTCACTTAGTGAAGATAAATATATCTTACTATTGTACTGACAATTTATTTTTATTTGAAATTTCGTTTAGGGTACTATAGTCATGTGTCTGGCATTTCATTTGATACATCAGGAGTCACCGGAGTGTGTATAAGTAAGAGAGCTTTTAAAAGAATGCGGAATATTCGGTTCCTCAAGGTCTACAAAAGTAGAGATTGTGGGAATAATAGTGTGCACATACCTGAGGAGATGGAGTTTCCACATCGGCTAAAGTTACTACATTGGGAGGCATATCCAAGCAAGAGTCTCCCTCCTAGATTTCATCCTGAATATCTTGTTGAACTTGATATGCCACGTAGCAAGCTCAAGAAGCTTTGGGATGGAATCCAGGTTGGATTACATATTAATTTACTTGAGTATATACTTTTTCTTCATGTTATATGACATTCGCTCTGTTTTATCGTTTTTACATTCAGCCGCTTACTAGTCTCAAGAAGATGGACTTGACATATTCCTTGCATTTGAAGGAACTCCCGGATCTTTCAAAGGCTACAAATCTTGAGACATTGAACCTAGCTATGTGCAAGAGTGTGGTAGAGCTTCCCTCCTCTTTTTCAAATCTTCAAAACCTAAAGACGTTATGGATGAATTTCTGCCTAAAGTTAGAAGGCATTCCAACTAACTGGAACGTCGACATGAGGGGATGCTCACGGCTACAAAACTTTCCATATATTTCTATGAACATCAAGACATTCATTATAACAGACACATCAATCAGTAAACGAAGTGCCTACATCAATTACGCATTGGTCTCATCTTCAGCATCTCGATATACGTGGCATTGGAAAGCTCAAGACACTACCACAACTCCCGACGAATATAACTTGGCTAGACTTGAGCAATACTGGTTTTGAAAGGATTTCAAATTGCTGCATCAAAGATCTTCGAATGTTAACAGAACTTCGACTTTCTGACTGCAGAAAACTCACATCACTGCCAGAACTCCCTCGGTCACTCAAGTTCCTATTAGCACAAAAACTGTGAATCACTTGAGACCGTATTTTGCCCTTTAAACACTCCAGATGCGTAACTCAATTTCACCAACTGCTTCAAATTGGGCCAAGAAGCACGAAGAGCAATCATCCAACAACGAACCTTTGGATATGGGTCGACATGCTTACCTGGAAGCGAAATGCCTGCAGAATTCGAACACCGAGCCATGGGAAATACCTTGACCTTTCCTCGTTATTTCCCCTAACCAGCACTTCGGAGAGTATTATGATGAACCAGTAGTATTATATCGTCGAATACGCAAAGGCTACTTGTACCCCATTGAGGAAATCCAATGTGATATCTCCACATGCCAAATGAAACATTTGCTTGTATTTCACTCTGAGTGGCTTTACGAATACAGATGGCTTGACGTGAACAGAGAGATAATGTTCGAATTCAACAGCAAATTCCAAGAGTTCGACATTATTGAATGTGGTGCCCAAATCTTGACTTACGGAACGGACGGAAGCAACAACGATGAAGATGAAGCGTTCGAGGAAGAAGACGATGTTCAGGGCTCTGAAAAAGCGTCCAAAGAAAAAGATGAGGGTATCGTCGACGGTGACTACAAATCTGTATCCAGGAAGCGTCCGAGGAAGACGACGAGGACAAGTGCTTCTACATATCTGAATTTGGGGAAGCGTCCAAAGACAATTGATTCATAAGTTGTAATATCCTTATCTTCATGTGGTTTTGTATATGAAACGATAATGTATGTCCCGTTTTAGAATATCCATGTGCCGGTGATCTTTGCTAGATTATGTCAAATAGTAGCAAAAGATGTTCAGTACGTTTTCTTTAATTACACTCAGTTTTCCACAGAGTGTAATTGCTTATTGTAATAATAAAATTTAAGAACATTTTATATAGAATATATATTACTTTTGAAATTAATAATAAAGACTTACCAAATTTTTTAAAGAGATATTGATTTGTTTTGTGAAGAAAACTTCCCAAATTTATAACAATAAATATAAGTATTCTTTTGAAATGTTTTTTTAACATAAACAATTTGAAAATAACAAAAACATTATCTAATTCGAAAGTAACAAAAAAACTATTTTTAATCCGTGTTTCATTTATAAATTTTATAATTATATATTTTAACGTTTTAAATATTAAATAATTTATTTGTATTCTAAATGCTATTTAAGATAACGATAAGTCAAATTTAACATAATTTATACTTATACAATACAAATAGTTGAGACAAAAAATGATACAATTCAAATAAATATGATTTTCACCTATTTATTTAACGAATAAGTACTCTTTAAACTATTTTCTCAATAGTTTCTATTTCTATAGTACACTTCATGTTTTATATATAAAGTTATAAGCAAATAACAAAATATCAATGTGGATATTTTTTACAATTTAC